GGTGCCACCAGACTCCTTGTTGTTTTTGTACACTACAATGGGACTTTTGTTGCAAAAAACCACCCAGTTTTGGCAACAAAAAACTTCCACCCCTATGAGAGACTTTTTTCTTTTCTTTTCCCTTTTTATTGTTGACAAAGAGCCAGTGTAGATACTACTGATTGTTTTGTGGACAGAACTGGCTTCCGCCAGTATCCCACAATGCCTGCCCTGATTGCTCTGCTCAATGTTTTGATCTCTGCTGTCCTGCAGGCGTGCATCCCTCCCTTTTAAAAGCTCAAGGAAGTATCTGTGTGCTGCTCCCTTTGGGGAACAAACCAAGAGCAAATCATTGGAATGCTCCTGTTCTGCCCTGCACTAGGAACACACCAGCAGGCAGACTGCTGCTGCAGGGGGAGGGGGACAGACTGCTATGCTGCTTTGCCATTCCTCAGCACTGAGCACTCACAGAGCTACTCATGGTGCTGCTTTTGGCAGCTGAGGGGGCTGTGGGAGAACTCGGAGAGAATCCCAAGATGCTCAGGGATCAGCTCTTCTTTCCCACAACACTGCTCTGTGGGATACATACCTATGGTGCATTGCTTACCCTGTCGATGACGGTGTCCCCAGTGTGGACATGGTCTGTTGACAGAGGGAGCAAGTGTGAACACCCTTTGGCAATTTTTGTTTTGTCGACTCTTCGGTTTTGACATAAGTTTTGTCAACAAAACTTGGTAGTGTAGACAAGCCCTATGGGTTGTGCCAGTATTAATCAGTAAAAAATCATACCCCCTAACTGATGTCATTATACTGGCACAAACTCAGTTTGCAGACTAGGCCTAACCCTTGATGTTTGTGCTGATTTCACCTTCACTGCTTTTTGCTCTGATCACATCAACCTCTTTGAATACCTTACCAAAAGCTTGTCTCTTTCACTAACAGAATTTGGTCCAATAAAAAAATATTACCTTGTCTCTCTGACAGCCTGGAACCAACACAGCTACATCAACATGCCAACACATCTACATCAACATGCAAACACAATACTCTTCCATTATGTTAAAGTCAAGCTTCTTGCCCTAACTTTCAAGGCCCTTCATAGCTTTATTCTTACTGTTCTGTTTTAGGGTTTTATATGGTGATCCTTAAACATAGTGTTGAAGAGTTTATGTAATCCTCCCATTGTACTGAACTCCATTCTACCAGTTTTCCCAGCCTGGACCATCTACTTGTCTGTTCTTCCATAAGCATCTCTGTGCTTTCTTTGACATCACCTCTTTTACTTGGAATGCCACCTTCCAGGCTAGTCTATGGAGTTACTGCCATCCGATGGTCCAAGGACATCTACATCGAGCACATCACCAGCCACCGACAGTACCAGGAGGCCAGAGTGACGACATTCTCCCACTACGAGAAAGGGACCAAGTGACCTTCTCCGTTGGATTATATGAACTGGAACCATAAACTCCCTAAACATTAAATCTCACCAAATGAGGGTCAATCCATCCTCATCGTCATATCCACTCATTATACTCCACACCCGAACATAGCCACTTTATGAACTACATACCCTCATATCTCAATATCTGTACTTTGACCCATCAACCTTTTACCCCCAATCGGGGATATTGCAGATTATGTATTCCTCATGCCACTTTATCTTAAATCAAATTTTGCACCCTTGATAATCTGTATGTTATTCCCTGATAACCAGAAGCTTCTATGCTCAAACTCTGTTCACTATTTTTTTTTTTAAACATCATCTTAATAAAATTTTTAAATTCATTCTCTTCTTTTCCCTTCTCTTCTCAGGATCTACTTTTACTACAAGAAATATGTTGCAATAAAACAGCCAATATACGATGGCTAATCTGAGGGGCAATTGAGGAAAGTTGATAGTTAATTACATATTTATGCAAAGCAAAACCAGATGTATGTAAAAAAAGTTGTTTCTTTGTCTGCCTTTGTATGTTGCTTGTCCACTTAAATTATAAGGTTTTGGGGACTGGAATCTACCTCTGTGTGTTCAGGGCCAACAAGGCCCTGATCCCAAATAGCCTCTGGACACTACCATAATGTAAACATTATGGAAATGTGTAATACTTAATAATTCAACAATACAGACTCTAGCTCTTTTGATTTTTCTGTTAATCTAAAGCTCCCACGACTTCCATTGTTGATGTTGGTCAAAATACTCCTTGCTGCTGATTAATTTGTATGTGAATTTAGGCTCTAACATTGAGGGCCAAATGTTTTGCTAAGTGAATTTTTAAAATAAAGTAACAAATGGGTGAAAAGGGTATTGTGTGCGGCATTATAAATGGGGAACTTTTAGAAAATGTCATAACTATATTAGAAAATACTTTACAAATCTTATAATTTTGACCTTATCTGGAGTTTTGATTTGACCAAGGCTGGACACTATCATTGTTGCTTAACTGCATATGAATATGATTTTTTTTTCCCCTCAAGAACTTAGAGCTTTAGTAAAATTGAAGTGGAGGCACTTGTTTCAGATGTCAAGATCTGAAATCTCATCCTACATGTGGTTCATAAATGAGATCTGGATATTTTAGGAGGATCCTATTATAAAGTGGATTATTTAGCTAAATTAAAGTAAATGTTAGACAGCAATGCGTAAATAATTCCATTGTAAAGTATTCCAGAAGCTTAAATACTTATGCGAAAGCCTAGAAGTAACAGTTGTTCCTTTAACTCTTCAGAAAATCAAATCACCGGGGCAGTGCTGCCTTACCTCACTAAATCTGAACTTAAAGACCTAGGAGTTGGGTAAGAACAACTTTTACTGATATAGTAACATGAGCTACGTGAATTTTTTAGAACGTTTCCTGTCTGAGAAATTTTGGTCATTTAATAACTCTGGGATCTTTATTTCTCATCATTGGCTTTGTTTAACTGTCCTAAGTTTTGTCTATGCCTTAAACAAAAACGATGGCGGTGGTATAAAGGATCTGTTGGTGCTGATCTTCACTGAAACTAACCAAGGTTTAATACTACATCTTGGGGAAGAAAAGTCATCAGGTGATTGCAAATGTTGTCCTTTTGATTCCTGTGGTGTGATATTTCAGTATCTTGTCTTGGTTAGCTCACGTCTTATTTGCTATTGTGTAATTTCAGGTATTCATGTCAAGGCTGTCAGCCTGTTAGCATATCAAGGTGTTTCATTTCTTGGAGTGATGTGTAAAAGTGTGTACATTTTATAAAATACTTGATCAAAAATAGGGGTTGTAATTATTTGAAAAGAGGTATATGAGCCAATTGTTAAACAGAGCTAAAAACTGATTGAGGATGTCATTTTATGTGCAGCTGGCTTTGTTCTGCGACTGTTATGTTATTTGGGGGTAATATTGTGCCCTATGGCAGAACGTATAACTATCACAACTATTATAAAAGAGATGTGAAAAACATTTGCAAGAAGAACAGGTTAAAGATGCATACGGAGATAACTGGAACATAATTTGGGTTATTCGTTTGTAGACCTCTACCCCAATATAATGCAACCTGATATAACACAAATTCAGATATAATGCAGTAAAGCAGCGCTCTGGGGGCGGGGGGGCTGCACGCTCCGGCGGGTCAGTGTGTCTGGCTCCAATACGGTCCTCTGAGCGGCATGTTAAGGGTGCCGGGCCGGGGCCGAGGGATTGGATAAGGGGCAGAGGGTCTCGGAGTGCGGTCAGGGGACAGGGAGCAGGGGGGTTTGGATGGTTCAGAGGTTCTGGGGGTGGGGCGGTCAGGAGACGGGGAACGGGGGCATTGGATAGGGTGTGGGAGTCCCGGGGGGCCTGTCAGGGGGCAGGGGTGTGGATAGGGGTTGGAGCAGGGGGGTTGGGTGGGGTCCTGGGGGTGATTAGGGATGGGGGGTGTCTCTGGAGGGGGCGGTCAGAGGACAAGGAGCAGGGGGGCTTAGATAGGGGGTGGGGTCTCTGGAGGGGGTAGTCAGGGGACCAGGAGCGGGGGGGTTGGATGGGTCGGGAAGTTGGTGAGGGGTTGGATAGGGGGCGGGGCCAGGCTGTTTGGGGAGGCACAGCCTTCCCTACCCAGCTTGATTTGCTGACTACTAATAACGGAAATGCTCGAGGCCAAAGCAAGATTGATATAACGCGGTTTCACCTATAACACTGTAAGATTTTTTTTGGCTCTTGAGGACCGCATTATATCTGGGTAGAGGTATAGTTGTATGTATATTATCAAGTGTGGGGATGCTGGTATATTCCATGTGTATGGCTCAGCGGAGAGGGTGAAAACTTTAGGAGGCATGTTTAAATGGGGTGGCTAGTGGACAGCATTAATTAAACAAATTAGAATTTTACACTCGATTAAATACAAAACTGACTTTAAAGTTATTTGTGCATCCGAACAACACCTTGATATACACTGATTGTACTTTGCATTAATATAACACCTTTGTAATTCCAGGATCTCAAAGCACTTTATGAACTGAGAATCTTTAGTTACATGATCACATATTTTTTTCCCCATAGGATCCCTGCTCATTCAGTGAACAGGCAGGATCTGTTCTGGGGATGAATCAGGTTTATACTGTAAAGGAGGCTGTTGTCTGTAAGACTCCTACTTCATTTCTTACTGAAGTTGGAAAGTGTGTAATGAATGAGGCTGAGGATTACAGCAATGAGATGGTCTCAAAGTTAGTCAGTTGAATGCTTCCCTGGAGAATGGGATTCTATCTGTCCCTCTGCCACAGAGTTCTTGTGTGGTGCTGGGCAAGTGACTTATACCAAACGGTTCACAGGTGCTCACTGTGTGATCCTCATCTGGTGCCTGATTTGAGACCCTTGCGTCTGATTTGCAGAAGTGCTGAGCACTCACACCTGAAATTGCAGTCACTGGGAGTTAGGTGTTGAACACACTAATTCCTAGTTCTCTGAAAAATCAGGTCTTGGGTAACTCAAATTAGGCACCCAAAATTAGTGGACAGTTTTGACCTTAATCTCTCTGCCCCATCTATAAAATGGGGGATAATACCAACTCTTCACCTCAGAAGAGTGTTGTGAAAATCAATTAATATTTGTGCAGGACTCAGATACTGTAGTGATAAGCACCAGAGAAAAGTCCATGAGGAAATTAATAATGCTATCTTCAGAGTAAGATTTGAAGAGTGTGCATTAAATAAAGCCTGAAGCCATGCACTGAACAACAAGGAGAAAACCCAGGAAAATGAGGAAGGCCTTCAGAAAATGAGTGCACTGAGTGACCACCTGTAAAAGTGGTCTTGATTAGCATCACAGAGGAACTCTGTGGCAGAGGCAGGGATAGAATCCAGTTCTCCAGGGCAACATGTAACTGCCTTACCAGTGAACACTTTCCATTTTTTGCATGGAATGAGGTAGGAGTCCTATGGAAAAAGTAGTATGTGATCATGTCATTATAATGGTTCTGTAGTTCAAGAAAGGTGAATTTGGTTGCATTAGCACCCTAATTCTGGCATTTCCTAACTTGAGTGCCTAACTTGCAAATTTAACACTGTTTTTCTCACAGGTTTTGTGTTTTCCAAAAAAAATGACAAAAACCTGGTTAAACTTTACTGTGTAGACAAGTCCTTAATCTTATCTAGGAAGGGGAATAGGCTGTACCAATATAAGCCACCTTATATCAGTATAACTACCTCCACAGTATGGCTTGTATTGGTATAAGTATTTCCATAAAAAAATCACCTTCTTAAACAAAAAAAGTTATACCTCTACAAAAGCGATGTGTAGATCAGGCCCCAGTCTCCAATTCAGTGTCTAGGAGAAATGAATGCTATATTATATAGTTTTATAAGAAGTCCTTTCCTGCTAGGGCACATTGTCCTTATACTTCTTCTTTGTGACTCATGTTTTCTTTTGTTATCAGAAACAAGTCTTAGTAAAAAGACTTAAAAGCAGATTTAAATTCTTTTCACCTTGGCTTTTGGTGATTAGCTGCCACATCACCTTATTGATAATAATTGGTTAAAAAAAAACTACATTACTGTAGGTAAGGTTGGCTGGTGATAGCTTGTGCCCTCCCAAAATGTCAAATTCAGCAAAAATCAAACTTGTGAAAACCAAGAAATACATGCTCATGCAACCGTAACTCTGCATCCCCTTGGTTGGCAACACACACTGGTAGTTAGGTGTATGCTCTCCAGCTGCATTTACTTACTGTTTTGGGGGTAGCTGTATTGAATGGTGGAGGAAAGCTTTTTTTCTGTTTGCTTTTACATTATAAACTCTGGTCTTTAGCCCCAAACACTCTACATGAGTGATCTATGCTCTCAGATTTAGTGTGTTTCCGCAGAGAGGCAGTAGTACTGCTGCTCTGACTAGTACAGACAAGGTTCAGATGTTTCGAGATGCTTCTATAAAACAAGGGAAGACTAATTTTGACATTTCTGAATGTTTTTTTTTTTTGTAAAGGACAAAATAAGCAAATGGGCCAGGGGGCAAGAAACAAACCACACTCTCCTTCCTCAATTCACTTTCACATCCCTGATGCTATCAGGTTTCTTCCCTCCTGTTCTCTCTCTCTCCTCTTCATGGATTTTCTGCTGCTGGATTAACACATTCTTCAGACTCTCTCATTGTCACAGAACCTTTTGATGCCAATATTCTGTTCCCTTTCGAGAGAATCTCCTTCACTGGAGGTTTTCCAAAAGAGGCTGGGTAGCCGTCTGTTTTGGATGGTTTAGACACAACAAATCCTGCATCTTGGCTCTTTTAACCCTATGATTCTAAAGGGACCTGCAGCTTGTTAAATGGTAGTAGGGGTGGGAAAGCATCCTTCCATGTGTGCTTCATTGCACAAGGACCAATTAATATATCAGTGTGAGGCTAAAATTGAAAACTGCCCCCATCTTCAGTTTCCACAGGCATGCAGAAGAAATGGGTAACTAAAGACACCCAGCCAATCACTTCACTGAACTCTTCTTCGGGCTCTGCTCACCCAGTTGTGCCCATGCTGCACTTTGGGAAGGGTGCAAGTTACTAGTTCTGGATGCTCTTTCTGTAGTGCAGTAGAGGCACAGCTGCCTTTCATTGGCATTTAAAAGAAAATCAAGTTCAGAAACCAGCTTTCATTTCCAGTTTTGGGCTGCCTCTGCTGACCAGGCAGTATTTCTAGGATATTTGAATGTGGGTCAGGTCAGATCAGCAGCTTCTCCTGGAAGGAGGGAGCCTATAATTTTTTGTTTGTTTTTAAATTCACTTGAGATCCAAGTTGTCCTTGCTCAGACTCTGCTTGCGGGGGAGGCTAGCCTGTACTGCATGTATGCTGTGAGAAGGGGAAATTCCTGTTCACACTGTAGCATAAATTCCAGTTACCACAGTGCAAGCACAGCCATATCTGAGCATAGTCCTCATGCTCAGCTCTTCCAGAACTTTGTTAGTGAGTTGTTTTGAACATGTTTTTATCTAGCAAATTTTTTTTGCGCTACTATGGACAGGGCTTGTGAATAGTTGTATTTAACTATTGTATGGTATAGAATGAACCCACAGAATTGCTGTGTTCGTCTCCGCCATCTGGCTGACGTGTTCAGTATTTTTAAATAAATGGAGGAAAAATGTTTCAGGCATTTTTTGCTTCATTGTGTTGTAAAGGAACACCAAAGGGTATCCTGCCCCACCCTTTATCTCCTCTTCAGCACAGGATTCTCTGAGGCAGACTATTGGACCTGAAGGTTCTATAACCATTGGCAAATCTTAGTTGATAAAATAATAGGTTTGAAACCTTCAGCATCTTTGATCATCCCTATCAAGGAGCCATTAATTTGTTGACATTGTAACTTTATATCTGTGCCTGATTTTATTTTCTGAAGCAGCCAATGCAGTCATGGCACTTCTGACTTTGCTCACTGAACTGGAATATTACTTTCTGTATCAGTTGACTGAGCCTGATGGAAATCATTGGAGCTGGACTGGGATTGGTAGATAGATATTCTAGTCCTCCCTGGATATTGTGATGGGATCCTGAACTATCCCTGGCAAGTATCAAGTCTCAGCTTTGGGTATTTCTTGTGGTAACTCCACTACTTTCCTTGG